GAGTTCAAGGCCAGTCTGGTCTACATAGTGAGTTCCAGGACAGCTGGGGCTACAGGGAGACCCTGTCTCAAAAAGACCAAAAAAAAAGTTTTATTTTGAACATTCATTTTTTATATGTGTATGTGTGCAGGAAGAAGGGGAATGCCCACATGTGTCTGGTGATACCCAGGGAGGCCAAAAGGTGTCGCATCCTATGAAGCTGGAGTTACAGATGGGTGTGAGTGTCTAGGTATGGGTGTTGGGAACTGAACTCCAGTCCTCCACAAGAATAGCAAATGCTCCTAACTGTTAAGCCATCTCTCCAGCCCGGGAACAATTTTTAAAATTAGTATACATAATACATATGTATATGATAATTTAGCTTCACAGAAAATTGAGGGTCAAGTGGAGCTTCCTATACCATCACCCCCTAGTGCACACACAGTATCCCCACCTCAGCACCCCACACCAGAGCAGAACACTTTATACAGCTGAGGAGTCTAGGGTGACATGTGATTAGCATGCAAAGTCTTCAGTTTACAGCAGGGCTTATGGGCATTCTCTTCTTCAGAATTATATAGAGACACAAGTGGAGCATCACAACATCACACAAAGCATGCTTCCTCAGACCACCTGCTCTCCACCTGTCCATCTTCCCACTCTTGACTCTCTGTAACCCTTGCTATTTTGATTTTCTTCATAGTTCTTTTGCCTTTTCTGGAAAGCCCTGTAGTTGGAATCATGTAATGTCTGGTCTTTGATACCTGGCTTTGTTCACTTGGTCAAGAGCCTTACAGGTCCCTCTGTGTCATTTGTGGCATGCTAACTCCTTTTCTATCTCTATGACATTTCATTGTACAGGCACACCAGTGAATTCACAGAAGAGCTTCCTGGTTGTGAGCTGGGATGGTTTCTGAATGGACATATGTCCAATTAGCAAGGAGAGGTTTGGTTAGCTTCCATGTTAAGAATTTCTTTGGTGTTAAACTGCAGAACTATCTTTGGAAGCAAATACTCCATCTCACATGCTCACCTGCAGTGAGTAGAGTTCCTGTTGCTCCCCATCCCTAACAGTGTGAGACAATGTCAGTTTGGACTCCCTCCCTCTGACAGTTGTGCAGTGGCACAGTGGTATTGTGTGGCTGTTTTAATTCACAATTCCTTAAGGACATGCAGTGTAGACCATGTTTTCATATATTTATTTGCCACTTGTACATCTCCTTTGGTGAAGTTTATGGTTGATTTTAAAACCATCTGGGGCTGTTCATTTTCTTTCTGTTGACTTTGAAGTGTCCCTTATTTCTGATAGTATTCCTTCATCAGATCTTTGTGTTGTAAGTATTCTCTTCCTGTCTGTGGAGTATTTTTTAATGAAGGAGTAAATGAGTGAAACATAAACCACATTTAATTCTGACACCTGACAATGCCTTGAGAGCCGATGAAAATGAAGAATAAGATGTGAAGGGACGTTCAGCATGGAAGAAGCCAGAGCGGTCTGCATCTCTATTCCCTACTGGCAATTTGGGTAACCCCTTCAGAGGATGGCATGATAATAATAGGAGGTAGGAACTGGCTAGGCAGTTGGGTAAAAAGACCCCAAAGAAATGTAGCCAGTTACTTGGCTTAAAGTCAAAATGTCCTTGGGCCTGTTAGCAACATACTCTGTTCTAAAGCCGAAAATGTCAAAAGTATTTGGGAGCTTGTATCTAATCCTTAAAAGATTTTAGGGTTACCTCTTCAGAGGGGGGAATGTTGGAGGGGAAGGAGTGGGCATGGATTTGATCAAAACACCTTATATTCATATTATTCTTAATATTCATTATTATATTCATTATTATTCTTAATAAAGTTTTTGTAAAAAAAAATTTTTTAAAGATGTGAAGGGACACACAAGTGACTATATGAACTGTTTGGTAGAGACTTAAAGCACATGCATATTACAAACACACAGGGGGCAGATTTTATAGATTCAAGGAAATAGAAAACAAAACAAGCCACATTAGGAGTTGGGCCTGCCATGAAGCATGGCCCTGGGCCTTCCACAGGGGGAGGACAGGAAACTACTCAAGGCCCCAGCCAGGAGGTCAGAAGCAATAATCACTTTGGCTAGTTGAATGGGAGATGATGAATCATAAGATAACAGGAACAAGGTTAAAAAAAAAACATGAACAGAAAGACATAGACATGTCAAGTATTTGGTTGATAAGCAAGTTAAAAAATAAATTGTTAGTGAAAGGCATATTCCTGAGTTTTTGTTTTCTACTGTGTATGTTGAATCATATTTCTGGTTCATAAACCTCAAAACACGTTCTTTAGTGTGCTCGTAACACTGTGATATGTACTTAAAATTATCTTTGGGTTTGGGAAATAAAACAGGGTTTTCTTTTTCTATTTGGGTGAAGATAAATTTCCTTAAAAGTATTGCCAACATGAGACCTCCTCCAGACCTGCCTTCCTCTGTTCCTAGCCTCCATCTGTCCCCCAGACCCGTGTTCCTCTGTTCCTAGGCCCCATCTCTCCTGCACCTCTCCATTTAAATGTTTCATTTAAGTAATATAATAAAGGGTGGCAAAAAGGCTCTGTCAGTAAAGTGCCTGCTGCACTAGCGTGAGGACATGAATTCAGATCTGTGACACCCAAGTAAAAGCTGGGCAGGGGTGTGTGCACCTGTAACCCTAGCACTGGGTAGGGCAGGGAGGCAGGAGACTGGCAGATCCCTGGGGCTCACTAACCAGCCAGAGGGAATTAGTCAGCTCTGGGTTCAGGGAGAGACCCCAAAGAATGTGGAGAACAACTGAGGAAGACACCTGACCTTGACCTCTGTCCTCCACATGCACATACACACGTGTGTACACACTGCCACATGTACACACATACACAGAAAGAGAGAGAGAAAGTTAAACATTAGACAAAGTGTTATGATGTAGACTGCATGGTGTCAAGAGTTATCCTGCACAGCTTTATGAGGTGCACTGGAGACCACTAACAGTAAACAGCACCCAGGACAGGCAGAAATTCACATAACCAGGGAAGGAGGAAGAACGGGTGACTTTAAGACCTAAGTCAGAGTGAGGCCAAAAAGACCCTGATTGTAATGGAATGGGTGATACTCGGTGGAGGACTGACAGCAAGCAAATGTGGTTCAAGCTTGTGGCGCTGAGGGAGAAACACTGCAGGGTCATCTTCAGCAACTAGGAGGGAGCGGATCACAAAGCAACGCTATTTCTCTCCTTCAGGCAGCAAGAGTGCTCAGTCCTGCCCTACTCAGCACTGCCCCACCCACTAGGGAATCATGAGAGGACCACACAGAAGGTGGTGGCTGGAGCCACAAAGTAAACATGAACAAACGTGTTAAGTACATTTTATAGTATGTAAAGCTAGTAAGAGAAGCAGAAAAAAAGAATAGCGTGAGCTGAGGAAAAGGGCAGGTGTTGGTCAAGGACATACCTGAGGAAGAATAGTCTAGGCAGAAGCACTCAGTGCTAAAGTCCTGGGGCTGGATCAGGACTGGCAGAGTGAGGAACAGCAGGAAGGACAGGGTGCAGGTGTGACAGCAGCCCACAGCAGGAGATGCAGGCAGGGAGCAGAGGAGGGGCTAGATGGAGAACTGCTTGTGTGCTCTCTAAGAACACGGATTTCAGCCTCAGGGAGAGAAGCCTGCAGGGTGATTAGCATATCAAGGGCACTCAAAGTCCCACTGGGCTGTGTAGGATCCGGCACTGGGATAATGGGCAAAAGCAGAAGACGCCAGTGTAGGAGCCAGATACAGAGAAGACCCAGCCCAGGGTAGTCACCAAGGCTGGGAAAGGACAGGAGATGCATTTGAAAGAAGCTGTGGACACGGTTTCCTAAGAGAGATGAAATTTAACACACATGTGAGATGAAAAAGACTTGTGACGACACGCAGGTGTTCAGTGTCAGAAACCAGAAAGGCAGGGCTGCCATCAGCTGAGGTGGAAAGATGCACGTGATGAGTGATGTGGCGTGGGAGAGACCGGAGACAGAGATCAGCGATGCACTGTGACTCTGAGAGGTGAACCTAGTAGTTTCACAGATGGATCTGGGATTCAGGAGACGGGACTGAGTTGGAGATAGGAGTCCGAGAGTCATTGGTACATGGATAATGTGTAAGACTACAGAGAAGAGACAATGGAGAATGAACAAAGGTCAGGAATTGTGCAACACCCGGCACTCCAGCATGGGGGTCAGGGGCAGAGGAGCCCCAAGGCTTCTTTTGAGTGTGGGTGTGAGAAGCAAGGCAAGGCAGAGGTGGGGCAGAGGTAAAACAGAGAGAGAGAGGGAGAGAGAAAGAGAGAGAGAGAGAGAGAGAGAGAGATTTCACAGAGAGGAGACATCTGCTTTACCAAACAGTGTGTATGTCCAATGACAGAAACACTGAAGGATGGACAGCTGCAGGGCCTGGACAGGGCAGACTCCATGGAGAGATGGGGATGCTGGGCCTGAATGGAATGAGACTAAGAAAGAAGAGGAACCGGGTAAGCACTGGCAACCTTGGAGGGGAGCTGCTGCTGAGAGAAGGGCCAACACTGACTTTCAAGGACACAGATGGAAGGCCATGTTCTTGGGGTGACAGCGCCATCAGGGAGCTTGGTGGGAGAGGTGCTGTGACCTGCCCTCCACAGACCCTGCGCTCAGTCTCTTCACTTATTCAAATCTCAGTTCCTGTGATTCTGCCTCAGAAAGGACTTTTGCAACCACCAGTTCTTTTTGTTTTAAATGTTGTTGTGTATGTTTGTGTATAATGTGTGTATGTATGTGTATGTGTTCATGTGTGGAGGTGTCATCGAGGTCAGAGGACAAGTTTGGGCATCCTTTCTTGCCTTCTATCTTTGAAGCAGGGTCTTTTGTTTAACTCTGCTCACTCCAGGGTAGCTGGCCTGTGAGCTCCCAGGAATTCTCCTGTCTCTCCCTCCCCTCTCTCCTAGGAACTCTGGGATTTGAGGCCTACACTACCATCCTAGCTTTTTTGCTTGCTTCTGGCAATCTGAACTCAGATCCTCAAGCTTGTGCAGGAAGTGCTTTGCCCACTGAGCCATCTCACCAGCCCTGTAACCACTACTTCTGACATGAGTGTCCCTCTACTCCACGTACCTCTGCTCCCAATGGGTTTGCTGTTGTTTTCAGTTGAACACAAGCCCTATGGGGCTGAGACCCTGGAATTCACCACTACCCAACTGTCCAGCACAAACCTGGCATAGAAGAGGTACCTGGGTAGATGCTTGCCGAGTGAAAGAAATGCTGACACAGCGCACGGAGGGGCAGCTTCTTATTTTAGATGCTGACCTCAAAAGTGAGACAAATCAAAGTGAGACTTGGGTCTTTTGCAGAAGGTTATGGGGAAGAGGAGAAAAATAAAGTCGAAGAATAGACAGGGTCTAATATTTCTGTGATGGGTGCATGGAGTATCCAAGACAAAGAGGAGAGGCAGAGGTTGTAAGACCACAGTTCAGAGGTCCAGCCCTTGGGCAGCATCGGGCAAGGACTTCAGGCTGAGGGAGTGAGCAGGCGGTTAGTTCTGTCTCAGACATGCACCCACTCCTCTCTTAAACTTCCTGCACGGCCCTGACAGTTCAGATTCTATCACACACATTCTGTCTCAGCTTTAAATTGTGAAAATTCAAGTTCTCTCATCCATATATGCTTTTAATAATGCTTCACATTGAATATCAAAGGCAATTGATTGATGACTCAGCTGTCATATACATATATGTATATATACACATATATATATATAAGGGTGGGGGCCTGGTAAGACAGCTCAGTGGGTAAAAGCACCTGTCACCAAGCCTGACAACCTGAGTTTGATCCCCAGGACCTACAGGGTGGAAGGACAGAACTGACTACTGTGGGTTGTCCTCTGACCTCCACATATGGATGGTGGTAGGCAGGCACGCACACAAGCATGAACACACACTCTAACAAAATAAATAAATAAAAATGTAATAAAAATGTAGCACAGGACAGGCTGAGGCAGGAGGCTAGCTTAGGTTACATAGTGAGACCCTCCCTCTCAAAAAATGAAGAAAAGACAAAACAAAAACCAAACCTCAAAATAACAATAACAAAACCCATATAAAAGTTACAGTTCGCTTTTCTTCCCTCCCGGTACTGGATGGAAGCCCGGCCTCAGGCATGCTGGGTGAGTGCTGACCACTGCGCCAGTTCTGTGGGTTTTCTTTAGCAGAACTTTGGGTGCAGTGGTTCTCGTAAAGGAGCTGAACCAGGGAGACCCTGCTCCCCACTGTTCTGAGGTGACTAACAGAGCTGAGGAAGTTGGCTCAGCCAGCGAAGCGCTTGCTGCAGAAGCATGAGGACCCAAGTTCGGATCCCCAGCACCCACACAGGAGGTTGAATGTGGTAGACACGGCTGTAATCCCCAGGACTTGCTGACCAGTCAGTTTAGTGTATTTGATGAGTTCCAGGTTCAGTAAGAAACCCTGTCTCAGAAAGTAAGGTGGGTAGGGCTGGAGAGATGGTGCAGTGGTTAAGATCATAGCACTCACTGCTCTCGCAGAGGACCAGAATTTGGTTCCCACCACTCATGTTGGACTCACAGCTGCCTGTAACTCCAGATCCTGGGGATCCAATGCCTCCTCTGGTCTCCTCAGCACTCAGGTGTACAAACATACACTCGTGTACACACACACACACACACACAACACAAATAACAAAATCTGCCAGGCATGGTAGTGCACGCCTTTAATCCCAGCACTTGGGAGGCAGAGGCAGGTGGATCTCTGTGAGTTCAAGGCCAGCCTGGTCTACATAGTGAGTTCCAGGTCAGCTGGGGCCTGGGGCTACAGGGAGACCCTGTCTCCCTGTCTCAAAAAAAAAGAAAGAAAGAAAGAAAGAAAGAAAAGAAAAAGAAAGAA